ACAAAGGAGAATGGATAGTATTCAACTTCCATTCGATATTGATCAAATTTTACCAAAGGTCGTTATTGAAAAAGGATTTTCAAAGCTCACTGCTGATCAATGGAAGACCTTCATTATGATATATGCAACAACAGACATGCTAGATAATAATGATAAAAAGATTTTAGGACATTTTGTTCAGGCATGTAACTTATTAGTTACTAGATTTATTACAGAAGACGATTTGCAAGAAGCACAAGAATGATTAAGGGATATGTCCATAAATATAGAAAGAATCTATGGACCTGAATTCATTACAAGTAATATCCATTTATCGATGCATATTCCTGAATGCATATGGGATTATGGTTCCATTTATAGCTTTTAGTTATTTCTATATAAGTGATTAAATAGATATATAGATAAGCTATAGATATTGGGTATATAAATTATAGTAAATAAAATTTTAATATAAATCTTTCATAGGTTCTTATCCCAATAGTAATCAGCAGATCGAACTCGAACTTATGAAAATAGTACTCAAAAATTCGCTTATGGATTATCATCTTTCCTGTCAATAGATATCTGGTCTCTTGGAGAAGTCTCTTCAATTTTTTGTACTGAAAAAAGTTGCTGGTAACTTAGCTGTAACAAATGAATTTGATAAAGAAGAGTTATAGTATTTCATCTCCTTGATACGTCCAATAAGATTTATGGTACTGAAAATATATTAGGACAAATGCTAGCACCTTCGTATAAAAAGGTAAGTATTCTATTGGAACTCTATAAAATATTATGCGAATGATATACAACATTATATAACAAAGAAAAAAAAGATGTGAAAGCATGTATGGAAGTAACTATGAACTAATATGCAAGATTAAAAATATGTAATAAAATATTTGGATCCAAAGTTGCAAGTTGACATAAAAATAATACAGTGATTTTAGTAAAGTGGAATGTGTTTAGAGATAAAACAAGTGATATTTATTCTGGAGAGGTACAATATTACTTTGAGCTATACGTGTTGCCCAAATCCCAAATTATTTGGAATTTGGGATGCCAAAATCTCAAATTACTAGTATTTGGGATTTGGGATTTGGGATTTTGGCAAAAAATACTAATCATAATTTGGGATTTGGAATTTGGGATTTTGGCATTTGGATTTTGAATTTGGGTGGCAGGTATACTTTGAGCATACACTTACACTTCTAACGAAGGGATTCAAAACACATCTTCTAGCATATGTCAAGTAGTATAAAAATGTATCTTCCTCTAATATACGATTTAAGCATAAGTTTATGATATCTGAAGTATTGAATATAGAATTATGGAAAGAAGAATATTATAAGGAAGGTCAAGATTTAATTATTGCAGTACATAGAATATATGTAGAGCCATTAAGATAGACTATTGGGTTGGGAATAGGAAAAATTATATATCAATAATTCTATTAAATAGAAAATTTAATATTTAATTTATTCTTTTTTTTATATTATAATAAAGACAACTTCAAGTAGAAAACTTGAATTTTAAATGTATACTGCATAAAGATAAATTAAATTTAATTAAAATATAGTGTCAGGGATCTAATAGATTATATAAGATTTAAAATAAAAAATTTTCTCGTGCACCTGATAAGAAAAAAAATATTAGTTCCTGAAATACTTTAAAAATATTGGGTTCACGATATTACTATAATATCGAATATTCAAAGAAATCTAAAAAATATCATGCTCCCAATATTACTATTTATTATCATATACCTGATATTAATAAAATATTGGGTACCTAAGATTAAAACAAAATTTATCACATAACTATCGGATATATTATAAAATTTACAAAAGTACTATTGAGCTCTTAAAAAAAAATGCAGATATCGGGCACCCGATATATATAAAAATATTTTATGCACCTGATGATTTTCCAATAATCATCCGATATTTGAAAATATTGGAGGGCCAATAGGTACCTGATAAATATTCGATATTTGAATTTTGACTTGTGATTGTTACTGTTATCATTACTGTTATTATTATTACTATTATTATCTGGAACAAAAGTATTATCAAAATAATTAATAGTAGTAGAGTGGTCAATAAGTTTCTCCTTTTGCTTTTGTTTGAATTTAGAAGTTATAGTTGAAATTCTGAAATACTGGACTTAGTTGATAGTATCTGTTGTTTTCTTGAATACGAATAGTTTCTAGAATATGAATATAATTTATTTAAAGAATTCGTACTGTTTGATGTAATGGTTTTTAGTTTAGAAGATCTAAAATAGTCTTCTTCTTTGATCTGTTGTATTAAACTAGTTGTTCAATTATTAGGATCTATTCATGTTGAGGTTGTACTTAATTAATTAAAATGGAAAATAAAAAGAAGAAGAATATAGTAGGGTTAACTCAATAGATGGTTCAAGTGCACTTGAGATGAAAAAGCTAGTGGTAATGGTTTCAAAATCTATCTTTTTCTCCAATAACTTTATAGTGGATGAAAATGGTAGATAATTGTAAGTGAAGAATTTTCAGTTATATTTTGACTAGGAGTACTTGATTTTTACTTTTGCTACTTAATATTTTGTGACATTTGTACTAATGACTTAAGAATAGTAATTTTCCTATTACTTGTTTTTACAAAAAGATTGAGATTTACAGGTGAGCTAGTTACAAGAGTAATTAGAAAATTATTAAACTAAGTATTTTTATCTTCAGGAGATAATAATAGAGAATTTTGAGATGATGTTACTGTGGAGAGTAGTTGTAGTGTATAAACAGTTTGTGAAAAATTAACAGGTGTTTTGAAGATATCTATCATAACTTTTTAGTAATATGTGTGATAAGAAATTCAGTTAATAGTTAGTGACTTAAAATTGCAGATTATTTTATTAATGGAAAGATTAATTTAATAAATAGAAAGTGTTGTTTAAGAGTAAGTTTAATTGTTCTTTGATTTTGTGTAATTTCAAGGTCATCTAATTTTTATATAAGATCTTTAGTTTTAGGTGTTTGATCAATTATGGCTTTTATTTTTTATTGATAAAGCTTAGCTATTTCTTTGATAATTTTGTTAGGCTCTTTAATTTGATTAGCGTAAATTATATGAATGAATTACTAATACTAAAAAAATAAGAGAATAATTATCTAAAATTATGACTAACTAATTAAAACTTTTGCATTAAAAGGTAACTAACTAAAAAGGAATAAATTATAAAATACTATATTAGGGATTATTAAAATAAGTGATGGAATAATTATAAAAGTATTAATTTGTTTTTGCTAGAAAATATCAAATTGTTATTAGTCAATCTTTTGGATTAATTTTATTTTTCAAAAGATAATTTATAACTAGTAACTTATAAACAGTTACTTTAGTTTACAAATTTAAAGAAAATAATTTTAATAAAAGAATAATTTTAATTAATGGTTAAATTTTAAGAAATTATGGCAAAGAGCTAAATATATTTGTCAATAATTTATAAAGTAATAACAAAAGTTTATTGATCAAAATTTATATTTGAAAAACATAAATTAGTAGAAAAGTAATAGAGTTTAAATATAGAAAATATAAGTTTATTATGAAGAAAATTAATAATCCAGTTATTTTAAGATTATAAAAATATTAATTCAATTACAGAATTAATTACAGTTGAGATTACTTTCTAAATTTCACTATTTTTAAACTATTCAAATATAACTTGGGATGGTAAGAAAACTTATCTTTTTTATATTATTTGATTTGACCAATAAGTTGATTAATAAGTTGATCAAAATCTTGATTAGTAATTGTATCAATCAGTTGGCTACCAATAAATTGACCAGTAACTGAACCAGATATATATTATTAATTTACATAATTTGTATTACATTAATAAATAGATATTAATTATAACTAATAAATAAAATATACTAAATAATTATACTAACAAAATTTTTTTTTGTTTCAGCAAGACCTTGCCTCAAATTTATTAATTAGAAAAAGAGAAAGTCTTTTACATTATATATAATTATATAATACAAAATACACAACTTATTCTAATGTTTGTTTAAAAAGATGAGACTCAAACTAACTAATATGAGACATGCCTACAACCTATTGCCTAACAAGTAAACTTGTTCTCAACATATCTATTTTATATACTTCTGTTTATTTTATTCTTTCCTTGATAACTTTATAAAAAAATTGGCTAACTATGTTATTACATAAATTTTTAACTATGCTTTATCTATATTTGTATTAGTGTTACTATTATTATTATTATTGTTTATATTTGTATCCTTTTGTCTCATTACAACATTTCACCTATATATAAGTTCTTATATATTATTTGAATTTTTCCATTGGACCTCTAATTATCTTATTTGTATCTTCTTTGTTACTAGCTATAGACTGTATTATTTTTATTAATGACATTGGTACAAGATCAAATAGTATGTCGATGAAAGAAAATTCATTTGCATCTCATATCAGAGAGTGAGTTTTGATCTCAAACTCTTTTAAGTTATCTATTGTAACTCTGGTATTTTCATTAGGGCTTTGTGTTGACTCATTAATAATTTGTTCCTATACATAATCAAGTGACTACAGAATTTGCTAATTTATTTGGTAACAAAGGGGGAATTGGAATTTCATTATTATTTGGGAGTAAATCCTTTTGTTTTATCAACAGTCATTTAGTTGGTAATTAAGATAATAATTAATATTTTATATTAAAATATTTTTTTACTGAAATATTTTAAATATTTTAAATATTTTATACTGAATAATTTTTAAATCATATGATTTTTATCTTATTTTTAATTATAATTAAGCACATCAAGTAAAAGTTCAACAACGTAATAATGATGTGAAGATAAAGGTTAAAATAATTAATAATAATAATAATAATAATGATGATGATGATGATGATATTATTGTTCTTGTTATATTAATCAAAATCTTTATTATTTAATTTAATTTAATTTAATAGCAATTCCTAATGTTACTGATAGATTCGACTTTACATTTTGGTTTGGTGACATGAATTATCGTATTGATTTACGGAGAGAACAAGTTGTAAAATTAATTGAAGAACAAGATCTTACTGTAATAAATTTTTATATTCATATTTTTTTTTTGCAATCGTTATAATTTTTGTTATCTTTTGTAAATTTAAAGTATATATATTTTTATTATATTAAAAAAAAAATTAATAGACTCTACTTCAATATGATCAACTTACGCATGAACTATCCACATTTCCTTACTTTTCCAATTTTAAAGAAGCTCACGTCAATTTACAACACCATCACCACCGTCACCATCATTATCGTCACCATCATCATCAGTGGTGACCAAAAATATTTCACAACTCTATAATTCAGGTCCAGAACAGAGAATTCCTAGTTGGACTGATAGGATTATATTTAAAACAAGATTATCAGAAATAATAGAAAATATAAGATATGAAAGTCATATTAATGTTATAGGATTTTCTGATCATCTACCTATTACAGGAATATTTTTAGTTGAATTTAATTGGCAACGAGAACGAGAACTATTAGTACAAGTATCGATCCCAAAGTTAGGCAAAGAGGTACCGTTAGCAAAACAAACAAAATAAAGAATCTTATTGGATTTAAAATAAATTAAATTAAAAAAAAAAAAAAAAATGAAAAAATTATAAGAATTATGCTAAATATTCATTTTATTTCAATAGTCAAATAGAATATGTATTTTTATTATTTTATTATTTAAATTATTCCAAAAAGAACTTATTCAATAAATAATCATTTGTACAATCATTTTCTACCAAACGTTTGTCTTCATGAATGCCAACGAAAGACCATTTAATTAAAGTAGGAATGGCTTTAAGTTGGATTCTTGAATGAGTTCTATAAGGATTATCAGGTCTTCCCTTATATCTTTTAAATGTAATAAATAAATTATAAATAAATTAAATAAATTATAAATATAAATAAATAAAATTTTATTATATAAAAGGAAAACAGTAAACTTACTCGGATCTTGTACCAACTGGAACTTCAACAATAACATTCTTACCACGAATTTCTTTGCTAATATGATTACGTATCAATGGGTCAGCTTATTTCATGAATATATAAATAAATGTAAATTATAATATAATTGTAATAAATAAATAAATGTACATGCAATGGATGAAAAAAATTAATTACCTACTATACAATCCGGACACCAAGATTTTCCCGTAGATATATCTTCGGTGCCTATTTTATTTATTTTTATTATATTTTATAGATTTAATTTATAAAATAAAATGATAGATGTTTATTTCTTAGAAATAAATAAAATGATAGTTGTTCCTACCAAAAAGTAAGACATAAATATTTCTTCCAATATTTTCTTTAGTAACTTTATCAATAATTTCGTCAAATTTGTCAAAAGATGGTACGTTGAAAGTTTGAACCATTTTTAATTTTGAATTTCACAAATTTTGAATTTCCCCATTTATTATTTACAGATCTACTATTTGTCTGTTTATTTCCTAATTTATTTCTTTTATTCTATCTTTTACGTATTTATGTTGTATTTATGTATTTATGTTGTATTTATGTATTTATGTTGTATTTATGTATTTATGCATGCAAATTTAATTATATTCTACGCCATTACAAATCAACGAACGCGTACCTATTTTTAAAAAAGTACGATATGCTTTTCGCGTAATGCGATTGATTTTTCATAAAATGGTCAGTTGTTTTTCGTTGATGCAATATTTTGTCATATCCATTCATTCATTCATATTCTTCATATTCTTCATATTCTTTATATTTCTTTAAAAGAAAGGCATATTGTCTCTCTTTTTATATTCTCATCCTTTATTTCCACAATTATTACTTCCTATTTTATTTCACTCCTTTACAATTAAAAAAAAAAAATTATAATCAATTATGCATTTTTACCTTATCTCTCTTTTTATAATTTTTTCTTCCCTCTTATTAGTTGCTGCTGACTACTACGTAGATAACCCTGGGGCTGGATCTGTTTGGCAATTTGGTAAAAGCTATAATGTGACATGGTTTGATAAATCAAAAAATGAAAATACTGTCGATGTTTGTCTTGTACATGGACCTGCTGATAGATTAATTCTATTCAGAACCTTGTGTTCTAAAATAAGTCCTTCGACAAGATTTTGTTCTTATACTGTACCAAAAGATATCCCGTCCGGAATTGATTATGCTATTATTGTTGGTGGTGTTCCTGCCAATTATGGATATTCCAGTTACTGTAACGTCAACTTTTTTACATAAAACGTGACTAATTTTTTTGTTTACGAGGATGTTTAAATCTATTAATTTTTTATTTAGTCACTATCATTTCCGATGGCCCTCTTCCCGAAAATAATGGCTGTCCAAAAATGGTAAATAAATATAAACATTTATTATTTTTATATGAAACATTTTCCCATAATTATTAACAAATTTTATATGCTTGATAGGGTGGAAAAAATTGTCCTGAATCATTACCGTGTTGTAGTTCATCCGGTTTTTGCGGTTCTTCAGAAGCTCACTGTGGTGTCGGTTGTGATCCTAAACATAGCTTCAATGGCAAATGTGCGGTTCCTGACGAGTCCTTATCTTCTTCAAAACAAACTACACCAACCAATTTATCTAAATCAAATCAATTATCTTCTTCAGAACAAACTACACCAACCAATTTATCCAAATCAAATCAATCTAAATGTGGAGAAGTCTATTGCGGTGCAAAAAATCCGTGCTGTAGTGAATTCAATTATTGTGGTGAGCATTTCATTTTATATTAATCCTTAACTTTGAAATATATATATATGTATTGTCAAATGACTCGTTCAATTATGAATATAGGTTCCACTTCTGATTATTGTGGATCATCCTGTCAACCTGACAAGTCTTTTAATGGTATATGTGCTGTTGGAGGAAAATCCGCTTCTCCTGCAAAGACCTCTACTTTATCATCCACTCGTTCCACAACCAAACCAACTTTATCATCCACTCTTTCCACAACCAAACCAGCTTTGTCATCCACTCTTTCCAAAACCAAACCAACGTCATCAAATAAAACCAAAACAACTCAAACAATTTCATTATGTGGTAAAACTTTGTGTTCTAAAGCCAAACCATGTTGTGATAAAAACAATAAATGCGGTAAGCTATCAATAACAACACTTTCTGCAAAGTAAATAATAATTATTCTAATAATCTTTAAATAAATGCAGGATCGACTTCTAAGTATTGTAAAAAAGGGTGCCAACCTGCCAAAAGTTTTCAAGGCAAATGTAAACTATAAATGAAAATTGGTGATAATTCTTTCATACCATTTATTTTATTTTATAATTAAACAAATAAATTTCGCGACAGCATGTGTTTCTTTTGTTGTTATGAACAAAATCCATTTTTTTTTTTCCATTTGACCTGTAAATGAAGCAAAAGAACTATAGTAGATTTATATTACTCAAAAAAAATATTATACAGTCATCTTTTATTATAAATAAAAAAATATCTGGATCAAGGGTTAGGCGAAGCAAGAAACTATAGTTCTTCTAAATGAGATACATAATAAAAATCTTTTATAAATTAAATGAATTCATCAAATGAATACAAATTATATAAATAAGAACTTTATTATAAAATGAATTTTTATGAAAAAAAAAGAAGAAAATAATTTTATCATGATGTTAGATAGTACTAAACAATAAAAATATATTAGAAGAATAAAATTAATTGGACATTATTCGATTCTGGTCTTTTTGAAAGCACCATTCATTTCGCTATCACTCTCTTCCTCTTTTATTATAAGTTGAGGTGTTGATAGCGTACGTTTAGCACGCATGCTTAATGTTTCTGAATCACTTAATAAGGTTATATCCCAATTATCCCGTTTGTCTTCTGTATTTTCTATATCATCTCCCTCATTTGACCAATTAATTTCTTTTTTTGCCCAAATATCTTCTCCATTTGCCCATGTATCTGCCGTCCAATTATCGCTGGTATTTTCTGTAATATGTTCCCACGATGTATTATCGTCATGTGGTATTGGAAAAGGTTCAATTTCAAATTCTATTTCTTCAACATGAATGTTTTTATTGTCTTGATTGTTTTAAAAACATAAAGATTCATTTCAAGTTAATTATATATAGAATCATATGGAATCATATTATAATGATGAAAAATTTACAAACCATCCATTGATGTAATGTGATATTGATTTTCACATATGTCTTTCTCATCTTTCTCATCTTTGGCCTCTGCATCTTGCAACGCATTAATCCAATTGCTCCATGATTGAATAAAAATCTCGCCCATTTCCTTAGTAATCCCTTTCTCTTGTCCTAATTGATATCTTTCCCCACCTTCTAAAAATAATGAAAATAGTTTTGTTTGCCCTAATTTTCCTTTTGGAACCTTATTCACTTTCTTGTCATCTTTAACTATCAACCAACAATGAGTATCATCGATCCATTGGAAAAATATATTTCCGAAATCACCGAAAAGAGTGTATAGAGATACTTGATTACATGATGAAGGAATATTTGAAACCAAAAACCCATTCGGTTTAGTAGGAGGACCTAATATAAAAAGAGAGAGAAAAAGAAAATAAACCAATAAATTACACCAAGAGATTAAGTTAAAAATAAAATTGGATTTTAAATATTTACATCCGTCTTCCCCGTCCAGACACGCAAATTTAAAATCAGATCTCAACAGATGTAGTTTATTATAAAAACGAGTCAACTTATCCAATGTGAATATACGTTCTACTAAAGTCTTTTCTTTTAAATGATCTACCGGGAAATCAATTTCAAAACTTTCCCCACTATTATTTTCGTTTGTGTTTTCAGTTGAATATTCATTGAAAAAATAATCATAAACATCAACTTTCTCCTCTGAACCGATTTTCGTAATAAATAAATAAAAATATTAATATTTATACTTGAATAATTTTATTTTTAATAGATTTGATTATGAATTGAATCGCTAAACCTTTTTCGTGAAGAATAAATACTGCCAATCTAATAAAGTTATAACCGGTAATAAATGCATCATAGCCCGCTTCATGATTTTGAGATTCATCATTGAAGATATATCGTGTGAATCTTGGATCCAATTCTAATAAAGAAAATTAATAAAATCTCATACATCCCCAAGCAAATAATTATATTTTAAAAAATCAAAGCTTACCAATTTTCGGTGATAAAGATTCGAAGGGTTCAGTTTGAACAATTTGAAGGATATCCTGAACTCCATTTTTCGGAATAAGTGTCTATAAATGGTGAAATAATATTTAATTAACATTAATATATTATATTAATAATTAATTGATACGAAATTTTCTAACCTGTAATTTTCGATGGGTTGCTGCAATATGTTTGGTATCAATAATACTAAATTGGTGTAACAACTATATAAGTTTTGAGATTTTAGAAGATCAATAATCACTAATAAAAAAAAAGAAAAAAGAAACTTACGTGCTAAACAATCCATGTACAAGTTTTTTCCATTCCCTTAACTTTTCAGGTAATTCCATCCAGAATTGTTGAACAAGCTGACATATATCCAGGAAACAATTATGTCCCACTAATGGTTTCTTTGATTCTATCAACAATTCAATTATAGTTCTAAAGTTTAAACTAGCTGCTAATGCCTTATTAAATGAAAATTATTTTTTTTATATATTTAATAAATTGTTCTATAAATTTTTTTTTTTTCAAAATTCTTAAAATTCTAAAAATTCTTAATATTTTCATACTTCTTCAACTTCAATTTTTACTTTTTTTTCTTTTTGTGCTTCTGTCAACCTTTCAAACAAGATACTTTTAGGCTTGCTTTCGGCTGATAAAACTCCTTTATATCTAAATATTAAATTTATTAATATATAATATAAATAAAATATTCATCTCATATTTAATTAAATATAAAACTTAAAAGAAACGTTTATATAGACCTTGCTCTAAATTCCTGAAATATCAATCGTTTTTGTCTAATGGTTGGTGTATCCACCGTCAACTTATCATTATCAGAGTTCTTAAGCCATGTTTCAAGATTTTCCCTTTTTTTTTTTTTTTTTGAAATGATATAAAATAAAAATAATGAATAATTTAAATTTTTTATAATATTTAAAAACATTATTGATTAATTGCTCACATGATTTTTTCAACATATGATTTGGTGTCGTCGTCTGGTGGGTTATCTAATAAACGACTATTAAAAAATCTATACTTTTTAAAATATATCGAATAAATAATTTACCAATTTGCCTTTGTGCTAGATCAGCTTTTCTTTGTGTGAGCTTTACTTCATCTGTATTATTTATAAATGGTATTCCTACAAATATCGGATACAACTTGAAAATAAATAAATATTAAAGTATTCAATTATTTTATTATTATTATTTGTTTGATTGATTTACCTTGCGATATTAATTTGTTAAAATCAAATCCACAATTCATTAAAAAGTGAAGACTTGATCCACTGCACATGAAACAAATATCATTTTGATCTCTTTTGTCAGCGTTTGCAGGAAATATATAAAAATTGAATGGACGCGCAATAAAAATATTTTTCTCCTCCGAATAAGTAAATGTACATAGACCAAATTGTATAATAAGAAACTAATTATATTATAATCAAATAAAAATTGTTCTTTGTAAGATTACACGAAATAGGATTTCCGAGAACGTAATGATCTCTTGCCTTGCTAGCGGCTTTTCGAACTTTTGTATATCTAGACTGCGGATCGTCGAAACTCTTGATTCTTTCAATATGTTCATTTAAACCTAACATAGAAATAGATTTAATAAGTTCTAAGTGGTATGTTCAACTTTATAAATTTCGCATAATCGTTGCTGACGCATTTATATCTTGCGCACCAGTCAACTCAGTATCTAGAGCTATGAAGTCGGCATCTTTTATGGCCTCTTGAATAATTGGCAAAAGGTCGTGAAAATTTTTTTTTAGAATTTCCATTGTAGGTTCTTTACCATTTATATTATTAATCACTTTACCACTTGTCAAGGTTATCGAGTAGAAGATTAGTTGATCAGCTTGATTCTGATTGGCCAAAATTAATATAGCTCGACCACATGACAATATGATGCAATTTTCCCCATATTTTCTATAAATGCTATTTTAATTAAGAAAATAATATAAAAACTTTCGTAAATGCATTGACTCTTTTGATCTAATTAAAATGATTCATATCCCTTTTGATCGATATTCTAATACTGCTTTTTCCAAGTTCTTACTAATTGGCATATGTCACTATACTGACCACAAACTTGTAATTTATCATTTAAATAATTAATCAATATATAGGATGTCTTTAAATTTGGATCAAGCTTATATACAGGTTCTTTTTCAACAGGTAATTGAAGTTGAAAAACTTCTTGAGAGAAAACTTTTTGAATTTCGAATTCTATAAATTCTATATCACATTCCCTCAAAATTCGTTATTTTCGTTACTTGCTTTTTGTTCAGATACCAAAAATACTTTGGAATAATTTCTTTATTAATTCCGGAAGTTCACTAAACTTCATTGGTCTTCATTTATGCAAATTAAAAGTTTTAAGCAAACTTTGACACTAAGATTCTCGTGAAAAAATAAAGTTATTAACTTCAAACAATTTTCGTGATATCAGGATATTTCATTGAATATAATTGAAAAATTCAAGAATTTTTTTTTACTTTATGGAATTTTACTTAGTTAACTAGTTGACTCACAAATTGGTTTTAAACTTATTAAATTTACTAAACGCATAGACACTCATGATTAAAATTGTTTAATTATACAACAATGAAATCTAAGAATTGAACTGATTTGAAACAGGTTTTTGAAATGAACTTCTTATCCATCAGTGAACTTCGTGTAATTTTTATCTATATTAAAAGCATAATAAAACGTTTCAATTTTCAAGTCTTGTTTAGTTATACCTGGTGACTTAAATTGCTGAGGGGCATATATCGGGTCCTTAACAAACAAAAAGAAACAAACTATAGTTAAGATATTTTTAGAAATTAAATAATCCAAAATGAAATTTCCTTACCAGGCAGTATTATTAAATTTGACCAAGGGTAGAAATAATCAATTTAATAAATTTAATTAAATTGATAATAGAATAATGTACTTAGTATTAGAGGAACATCATTAATATTCTTATTTTTTATAATAAAAAAAACAACAATGACATTAATATAGGTAGTTTATAGTTGATAATTTATCAATAATTTTTTAGCATCAAATGAATGTTTCATTTGTTTAAACATGAAGTTTGTTAAATTAATTAAATATGAAATTGTAAATATTTATTATATAATAGAGTAAGAAATGATAAGAAGAAATAGGCTGTCACATAACTAAAGTGATACCAGTAACTGGATTTTCAAACATAATATGAATTAGGTAATTTTAAAATTAATTCTATTGTTAATTGAACAATAAAAAAACTTTTGAGCTCCACAAACAGGTACTGAAAAGATAGTTATCAGTAAGTTATCAAAATCTTTGATAAATATAACAAAAAACTTGTCTTCAGCAAAAGTATCTTGTAAATTAGCAATAAAAAAATCAGATAATATTTTTATATTGAAATGTTATTCATTTGGCTAAACAAAGTTTTACTTAGTTTCTCTTTTATCAAGTTGAAAAAATAAAATATTAAAATAAATATGAGTATAAGACACTGGTCAAAAATTCATAAATATCACACCTATCAGGTATCTGATAAGTGTGATATTTATAAATTTTTGACCAGTGAGATTTTGATTGGTTTAAAATTTTCTTTAAGTATAATTGATAATTTGATATAAAAAAAAATATGCAGTAAAATTAAATTTGAAATTGTTTTATTTTTATTATTTTCATTAATAAAGTGAACTCTAACATAAGTACAAGGATGATAGACTGAGGAGAACAGTTGTTAAACACTTTTCTTCCAAAAAAACAACACCTAGAATCAAAGGTTCAGATTTAGTCTTGTTAACAACAAAAATAAAAAAAAAATACTAAAGAAGTGAAAAACACAGAAATGAAATATAACAACAGTTGAAGAAAGTTTTATAGGAGATTTTAATTCTGCTAGCAGTAACACCCAACTATAAGTTATTATTACCAATAAAGAAAGTTCATCTAATTACAAATTCAATCCTATATTTGTAGAAGAAAAAAATACTACTGATAAAAATTTTGACAAGACTTAAGAATGGTAACAAGTAACTTATAGTAAAGGTAAAGGAAAAGTAATTAACACAAAAAATACAAGACAAATTCAATTAACAACAACTGATGATAATAAGAAATATATTATCTTATATGAAGATATTAATAATAATTAACATAACTGGCACGAAGCCTTAGGTATCAAGAAGTATAAATTATGAACATATATTTTATATATTCCAGGTAAATTAATTGGTGAAAAAATTGAAATGGTTAAAAAATTAGTTAGAGAAAAAATAGAATTAACATCAGTTATCTCTGAAGTTTATAACAAATAATGCATAGTTTTTATTTTCTTTGACAAGGAAGAAAATTTGAATAAAGCTAAAATAGTTAATGTAGGCACACATACAAACTAACTTCATTACATGTATAGAGTATTAGTCTTCAAAAGGAATCTTCAAAAAGAGATTATGTATAGTGTTAAGTTGTAGAATATTTTTATTGATATGAAATACAAAGAATTATTTTTTGAGATTTTTTTAACTTTTGAAGAGATTGAAAAATAAATCTTAAACTAAATAAGATATAGCAATCAGCTATCATTATATTTAAAGAAAAAAATACTGTAGAAAAAATTCTTGAAAATTGAAATATTCTAATTAGTAATGACTCATTTAAGATAACTTAAATCAATTGCACAGCTGATAATTTTAAGTCATGTGAAGAATTTATTGCCAAAGTAATTGGACTCCCAATTGGTTTCATAGCAAGAGAGCTCATGTTAACAGTTGAAAAAGTTAATACAAAAACTTGCTATTTTCTGCGTACAAAAAGAATATATAAATATAGAGACAAGGCATTAATTACTTTTACTTCTAGTGAAGCTAGAGATAATGCTCTTAATATATCATGGAGTGATAATAATTTAATAACAATTAAGATCATCAAGTTTGTTATGAAAACTTGCCATAAATGTTACTCAATTGAATATCTAATAGTTAATTGTTTATTGATAATAAGAGATATTAAATTTAAAAAAAAAAAAGGTAAATAGTTTAGAAAAATTTGAGGTGATTTATAAGAAATATAATCCAAGAAACTTCACCACTTTAAACAGACAAACTGGTAATAAATTTTATGCAAATATAACAAAAAAGAATATTAACAAGAATCTTAATAATCCTGAAAACTTCAATGATAGATTATCCCATATTGAAACACTTCTTTTAAAAGTTTCTAAAAAACTATCTACATAAAAGTTGAACAAGATTTTTTCAACTCAGATAATAATATTAGCATAAAAGATGATCTGAGAAGCTAGAAACTTTAACTTCTTCCACTAATAAAGATATGAAATTTACAAATAATAGTATACTTACAGTTATTAACTAGTTAATGAGTCACTTAGATTGTTAAAAAAATAAGAACAACAAAACATACCACTCAATGACATTTATTAAATAGAAACCTAAATACAATTTCAAATTACAAAAGTTAACAAGTTGCTTGGAAAACATTGTGAAAGATAGTTTCAATTTTATATAATAAAAGATTTTTTAAATGTAATAAAGAAACTTGGAAAAGAGCTTTTGATATAAAACTCTTAAATGGTGAATTACTTACCATGAAATAAATGTTTGAGAGATTTCCTTTAGTATATAAAAGTAACCTTTGTGTACATTGTAATAAAGAAGTAGAAAATCACATGCATATTTTCACATGTGAAAAAAATTTAGTGAACATTGAAATGTGTTGAAATAAATTTATTAGCCTATTAGTAGATCAAATTAATATTATAGTGACAAATGCCTTGTATAAAGGTGTCATAAATTTAATCGATAGTTTATATGAAATTAAAATTACAAATGTTGGAGTTAATAAGGATCCAGATGAGTTTTCGTTTCATCAGAAAATTTTTTGGGGTGTAAATTTCCATAATACAAATGGGACCTACGGAAATTTACGTCTCGAAAAATTTCCTGATGACTTGTAGACATTTTATTTGGCTTAGTAACTTTACCATTGCAAGAGTTAATCATGTCTTTGACAACTACTATAGAAGAAACAAGTCAAATCCTATATAATGTAATGGAGAAATTCAAAGGTTATATACATAAACATATTTGGATTATAAGATATAATGATATCAAAAAATGGAAACTTGATAATGGCATTAAAAACAAAAGAAAGAAAAAGGTTGATCTACTCATAATAACTAATTCAGTAATTAGCTTAATATCTATTGATTTTAAAGATAATAATAGAATTCATAGAGACAAAAAAATTATTAAAAATTTTTATTTTAATATAGTAAAAAAATTTTTATTTCAATCTATTCAAAATAATATTAAATGAATAGTGTTATATAAAATAGGTTATTTGGTAAGATCTTAATATGCTGAAGATAGCTGTTGCTGTCAGGTGGTAGGTTGTAGGCATATCTCTTTATAGAGTTAGTCTGAGTCCTATTTTTTTACAATAGTTATTAGGATAAGTTGTGTATTTTGCCTTATATAATAATAATGTAAAAGATTTTTTCTTTTCTTAATTAATAAATTTGAAGCAAAGCCTTACTAGAACAAAAAAATGAGCTACTTAAATAATATTAAACAACAGATTAAAGTACCTTCAATTACTCATAATTCCAATAGAGAAGAAATTCGAGATTTATCTCAAAAGTGTATTTTTCTTATCTAATATAAATATAGATAATAACAATAATAATAATAATAATAGTATATTTAATTCTAATAATAAGAAAAAAAGTAAAAAAATATTAGATAAATCATCATATGTACATAATAATTCAAATGATAATAGTGTTCTTATTAATAATAATAATAAAAGTAATTCTTTAATAGATAGCCATTACTTTAATATAGATACATATAATATAAAAAAGTTTAATGATCCTATTAAATGTAATTTTTTTTTTAATTACATAAAGAAAAATAATATGGATATAATAGGTATAGTGGAAACTAATTGTGAAGAAAAAAGGAACCATTGGTTCAGTAATGAAAAAGATAAATTAAAAATTCATTGGTCTTCCAATGAAATGAGATTGGGAGTCACTTTAATTTTAGTAAAGGTTCTTAATAAATACATTTGTAAAGTTCATTCATATCTAAGAAGAACTAATTATATAGATTTAATTTTACCTAGAAAGACTACTATTTATATATTACAAGTTTACTTATCAAGAAGAATATCAAGGTAATACAATTATATGAATTATACATGTTTCCAAAATTGATTTTGAATTTTGAGATATTTCAACTTTGAGATTTATGCAGAATCTATTCTATATATAGAAATAAAAAAAGTATCAAAATTGTAATTTCAGGATTTCAAAATAATTTTGTGTACAAGTATAAT